ATATATTAATAAGGCCCTGTCGATATAATATAGTAGCGTATGATCTTAATTTTTGTACAATTGTCAATAATAATAATGTTTAAGTTATACAGTTTTAGATCAAGCGTACTACAACAAACATCATATTTAAGGCTGAAATGCACTTTTAACCTTAGCCAAAGAGTTAGCCATGGTGGTGGACGGACAAACCGTTAAATCGCAAATCACAGCCTCCTGATACATGTCTAATAATAACAATTCGATAAGTCAAGTTACGGGACGGAGCGGGGACATATGAAAAGTATTCCCGCATAAAACATCTTTATTCATCGATTCAGAGTTTTAAAACACTATAGCTGTTGATCAGGCAATGTCTTGTTTGTTCATAAGTCGTCATCAGTCTCGCCTTACTCAATGCACTGCTTGAGCTAAGAGAATTTTACGTTTGGCTGCGTTTTGAACTCCATCTCCGGGGTGACTGTCCTCGAGTGGCTTTAAACCTCCACTCAGCGCTAAAAAGCCATCACCTAAGGAGGTTAGGTCAACATTTTCCCCACGTGCTGCTACAGAAGTAGGCATATCATTCATCGTGTTAGAGGAGTACACCAAATCTATACCAAATATCTTCGTCAAAGGGTACAAGATGGAACTCTTTAATGCACCTACTTCAACTTCAACGGATTCGTTTTACCCTCCCGTGGGGCTGTACTTAATAAACCGGTTTGCAACGTGTAGGCCTATTTAAAAATAAACAACCATGCGCTATATAACTGTGGCGGTGTGGTGATATTTTAAGTCTCTTCGCTGTCCTATGCAAAAGGCATGAGTTTGATTCTCGAAAGGGGATTTATTTATTTTATTTTCTTGAATCTATTCGAACCTATCTTCTTGGATCTCTCCCAACTTGATTGGCCTTGACAGGCAGTACGCCGAGGCAGCCCGCCTCAAAATGATCTTATTAACGTCGTTTTTAAAAAATATTAATTAATGTGTGTGTGTGTGTGTGTGTGTGTGTGTGTGTGTGTGTGTGTGTGTGTGTGTGTGTGTGTGTGTGTGTGTGTGTACGGGTTTGTTTGTTGTTGTTGTTTTTTGGAAGGGGGTGGTGGAGGGGGGGGGGCGTAAAATAATGACATGTAACAGTGAAATGTAGGCCCTATTTATACCCACAACAGAAAGGAACAATCGCGAACACAATATGCTGCAGAAATTATTCGATGTTGTTCAGATTTTCTATAATATACCGCGTATTAATTATTACTTCTTCTCCTTATTGTTCTCCTCCTTTTGGTTCTCTTTCTCTGTTTCATCTCCTTAAGCTGGCATTCCATATGCCCGAAAAACTGATGCGAACTTCGGGTGCGAATTTCGCGTACGAAATTCGGGTGCGATGAAAAAAGAGCCCTCCTTCCATATACCCGAAATTCATATCCGTCATTTCTAAATGGGCACCGGTTCAGTGCAGCACAGAGAGCAATCTTAAGTTATAATCAATGTATGTTTGAAGTTATATATTATGCAAGTGCTTTTTTAAGGAGGGGGTAAGTGAAATGCTATTTCTATTATTACATGATAAACGATAAATGATAGCATAGATAGATTACATAGACTCCCGAAAGTTTCCCACAAACTAAAAAAAAGTATGTGGTTGCCATGGAAATTGCGGCCTCCTTGAAAAGAAACACCTCTTTTCAGTCTTAGTTGTTACACTTCTCTCTCGAACCAAGGAAATCAACATTTCGACGTTTTCCCGCTTACATAGTGCTTCCATGCTGCTTCGTACCTAGGAAGTAGATTCTAGATTTGCCGGGAAATGAGCTTCACGAAGAATTTGGGTGCCGAAGAAAAAAGTTTCGCTGCCTCGTGCGAAACAAAATCTTCGCATGCGAATTTCGGACTCGGCCATGCGAAATTCCGTATATGGATTTACACAATAACAAAAAGGTTGGTGCGAAAAATATATAGTTCGCACGCGGAATTCGCACCCGAAGTTCGCATCGGTTTTTCGGGCATATGGAATGACAGCTTTATCCTTCCTCGTCGCTTTCTTTTTTTTTTTCTTATTCTTTCCCTTTCTCCTTCGCTTCCTTTGGCCTATTCTCATTTTCCTCCCCTCGTGATCCATATTAATTTTCTTTGGCCTGAAAAGCCACCCTCACCTCCACTCTATAAGTTGCCCCCACTGCTATTTCAACTTACATTCTTTGTGTTTACCTATTTTTACCATCCTTTCTGCTTGGAATCGCTTCAGGCGTTGTCCAGAGAAACTGCACTTGACTGTTCCTTTAATGAATAGAGTCATCCCCAGGAGAAATGCTTAAGAAACAATGTGCGGGCAAGTTTGGTGTAGGGAGAGAAAAAAAAGGGGGGGAAAACGGAGGAGGAGAGAGAGCGGGGGAGAGGGGAGAGAGGGAGAGAGAGAGAGAGAGAGAGAGAGAGAGAGAGAGAGAGAGAGAGAGAGAGAGAGAGAGAGAGAGAGAGAGAGAGAGACAGACAGACAGACAGGCAGACAGACAGACAGACAGACAGACAGACAGACAGACAGACAGACAGACAGACAGACAGACAGACAGACAGACAGACAGATACGTAAGTCCCGCCTAATCGTTAGATTTTTAATTGTACAGATCTCATAACATTATATTTCTACATTATGCTAAAAACTAATCTGCAAAAATAAACTACCCTCATATTATGCTTCTCATTGGCGAGTAATTGAAAATAATGATTCAATAAAATCAAAATTGAACGCTCCATAAAATACATGGACATATTTCTATATTATATAGAACTTTCTTAACCTGCTACGCTCAAGGAACATTCACTCTCTGTGGACTGTGGAGACGACCCATAGGTCGCTGTGACATTATTCGCGAAAGACTACTGCGCCCAAGGCGGAATGGGTGGCCCATTAAAAAAAGAATTGATTACCACAGTCTTTCCAGAGCCCCCACATCAGGTTCATTATTATACTACAGGATACAGCCGATCGGAGTCTCCCCCCCCCCCCCCCCCCACGCCAATTCAAATACAGTAGAAACTGCCTAAGACGGCTGTCGGCCATCCCCTGTCGAGGAGAAATGTAGCCATCTTAGACAGGTGGCCACCATAAAAACCACAGTAGGGAGGAAAGAAGAAGTGTCGTTTGTACAGGTGATTGTCTTTTATACAAACGGCCGT